CTGCGGCCTGTAAAGGGCCCGCTTGCTGCTCCTGCTCGCTGCTCACTCGCTCGCCAGCGCCTCTCCTCTCCTGTTTCCCATGGAAACGCCCTCTCAAGGAAGGCAGACTGGAGGCTGGCCTCTTTCCGTCTGTATACTTGTCACCTCAACTCAGCTCATCCACTCGCCACCCCGCCCCCAACATCATTTAAATCCAGCCCAGGCCACCTTCCCCCTCCCCCCCCCAGGGACTACCCCCCCCCGATTATCTCCTACACCTGCCCCACTCAGTCCCAGTCCCCTGTCCTCCCCCATCCATACTCCTTTGTTGTCTCCGCAGCTGCCCCCTTGGCTTTATTCATCCTTCTCCCTCTGACCAGTGAGCCACCCCCTCCCCAGCTCTGCTCTGGCATTCCTCCTGGTCCATGCCCAGCCCACTGCTCCCTCCACCTAGCCATTCCCTTCCTTCCAGCCCAGCCCTCTGAACACCACCCCAGTGCACCGTCTCACTCTCTCCCAGCTGGCCCAGTCTTCCCTGGTCTCTCCCACACACCAGCCTCTTTCCCTGTCCTCATACATTCTCGTTTCCTGCCTGTGATCCTTTCCCGTCCTCCCGGCCTCGGCCATCTGGACCCCCCCCCCCCCCCCCCCCCGCTCACTGTTTCCACAGGTGCCGTGGAGAGGCCATGGAGCTGAGCAGCAAGAAGAAACTTCACGCCCTGTCCCTGGCCGAGAAGATCCAGGTGCTGGAACTCCTGGATGAGTCCAAGATGTCCCAGTCAGAGGTGGCCCGGCGCTTCCAAGTCTCCCAGCCCCAGATCTCACGCATCTGCAAGAATAAGGAGAAGCTGCTGGCGGACTGGTGCAGCGGCACCGCCAACCGGGAGCGCAAGCGCAAGCGGGAGTCCAAGTACAGCGGGATTGACGAGGCCCTGCTCTGCTGGTACCACATTGCCCGGGCCAAGGCCTGGGATGTCACGGGGCCCATGCTGCTCCACAAAGCCAAGGAACTGGCCGACATCATGGGCCAGGATTTTGTACCCAGCATCGGCTGGCTGGTCCGCTGGAAGCGCCGTAATAATGTAGGCTTCGGGGCCCGCCATGTACTGGCCGCCCCCTTCCCCCCTGAGCCACCTCCCCCGGGCCCCACGTCCCGGGCCCAGCCTCCTCTTTCTCTTGAAGACTTCTCCCCAGAGGACGTTTTTGGCTGTGCCGAAGTGCCTCTGCTGTACCGGGCCGTGCCCGGCAGGGGGGGTGCCTGTGATCGCGTGCGGGTGCTGCTGTGTGCCAACAGCAGAGGCACAGAGAAGCGGCGGGTGCTGGTCAGCGGGCTCCGGGCCGCGCCCAGGTGCTTCTTCGGAGTCAGCAGCGAGGCTCTGCCTGCCTCCTACCACCCTGACCTGGGCATCCCCTGGTCCGAGTGGCTGGCGCAGTTTGACCGGGACATGGGCCAGCAGGGCCGGCAGGTCACCCTGCTGCTGGCCGCCCGGGTGCTCGAGGAGCTGGCAAGCCTGCCCGGACTCTGCCACGTGAGGCTCCTGCCTCTGTCCGCCGCTGCCGCCGCCGCTGCCGGCAGCACGCCGGCCCTGCCCGGCTCCGTGGTCCGGGCCTTTAAGACCCATTACCGGCACCGTCTGCTGGGCAAGCTGGCCGCCGTCCAGAGCAAGAGGGCCGGCATCTCGCTGGCCGAGGCGGGGGCGGGCATCACGGTGCTCGATGCTCTGCACATGGCGGCGGCGGCCTGGGCCAAGGTGCCCCCCCAGCTAATCGTCAGCAGCTTTGTTCAGGAAGGGCTAGCTCCCTGCAAGATGCCCCTGTGCCCGGACGAAGCCTCCCAGATGCCGCCAGTCCCCAGCGGGCTGAGCCTCCAGGAGTTTGCCCGCTTTGTGGACCTGGAGGGCGAGGAGCCCGCGTCTGGAGCGTGCAAAGAGGAGACGGGCGCTGAGGACGGGCAGGGGGCCCAAGAGGACGGCTTCCAGCCCCCGCCCACCAAAGCCGATGCCCTCCGGGCTCTGGGCACGCTGAGAAGGTGGCTGGAGTGCAACAGCACCTCCCCTGAGCTATTTGAAAAATTCTACGCCTGTGAAGAGGAGGTGGAGAGGCTCTGCGGCCTGTAAAGGGCCCGCTTGCTGCTCCTGCTCGCTGCTCACTCGCTCGCCAGCGCCTCTCCTCTCCTGTTTCCCATGGAAACGCCCTCTCGAGGAAGGCAGACTGGAGGCTGGCCTCTTTCCCGTGGAAATGGAGCTCTTGTGAAGGGTGTAGAAGGGAGACAAGCTGGGAGACCCAGGCTAAGCTCTGAGAGAAAGTTGTCCAAGCCTTGCAAAGAGGGGTCTAAAGATGGGGCGTGAGCTAGCGCGGAGTTTCCGAACCTCTTGGGAGGCTGGGACTTGGGAAGGTGGAATTGGGGCTTTACAGACAGGCCGATCCCTCGAACTCTGTGTTTGAAACAGTTCTGCTTCTGGAAATAAAGTTTTTAATCAGAAAAGAGGTCAGGGTGTTAATTTCCTGGGAGGAGGGTGAACACTTTCAACTCAGATTCTTTAACTTGGCTGCTGAGGCTTGCCGCAGCGCAGCTGTCTGGGCAGATGACCAGCAGGACTCCCCCTCTTCCAGAATTCCAGCAGCAAGAGCTCCCAGGGAATGGGGACTCCTTACCCGCTGACAGTCAGATGCCGAGTACCGCCCTGGGACATTCTGTGGCTCTAGGACTCTGCTCTCAGGTCGCGGCTGCGCAGTGGTGTTAGGAAGGAGGGGGCCCAGGCTAGGGACAGTCCAGAGAAACCAAAAGGAGCCAGAACTTGGAAGAGTCATTTGTTCATCTGATCATTTCACAGCATCTCTTCCGCAGGCCTCCTGCGTGGTGAGGTGGCAAACATGGCATCCCCACTGGGCAGGACCTTGCAAACAGTGACAGCCCGGCGTGATTAAAGGCTCTCACCCAGGTGCGTGCAAAGTGCCGTGGCCCCGCAGAGCCTGGGGAGACTCCTGGCGGGGGTGCGCTTCGAGCTGCATCTTGAAGGACAGCCGGCAGAGAGGAAAGGACAGTCCAGGCGCAGGGGCTGATGGAGGGAAGGAGCACAGTGTGGTGGGGGAAGCAGGCGGTCCCTCCAGAGCGCATGGGGAGGCCTGGGGAGCAGGAGGGCTGTTTAGCTCTGAGGGTCTCAGTCGGGATGGGGAAGGTCATTCGTGGGGGTTCTAGAATGACTGAGACATGGAGGGTGAGTCAAAGATGTGAGAGCTACTGGCAGAAAGAGGCCAAGTGGTCCAGGTGAGAGATGGGCAGCCTGAGCCAGATCGGGGAGTAGGACTTGAAGAGGATGGATTTACCCGGAAAGGCCATGGGCCATGGGCACAGACAGACCTGGGCTGGTGAGGAGTCCAGCTCAGGCCAAAATCCTCCTGTGGCCTAAAAGGCAATAGGCCATCACAAGCCAGTGTGGTGCGGCTTTCTGGAGGGCACTGCGGTCCAGGACTCAGCACCTAGGGCAGCCACACAAGCTGGGGAAGGGGCAGAGGGAGAGGAGAGTCTTAAGCAGACTCCCTGCTGAGTGTGGAGCCTGACACAGGGCTCGATCTCAGGACTCTGGGATCATGACCTGAGCCCAAATCAAGAGTCGGCCGCTTAACCGGCTGAGCCACCCAGGTGCCCCTGACAACTCACTTTTATTTTTTTATTTTTTTAAGATTTTTTTTAAATTTTTTTGACAGAGAGAGACACAGCGAGAGAGGGAACACACGCAGGGGGAGTGGGAGAGGGAGAAGCAGGCTTCCCGCTGAGCGGGGAGCCCGATGCCGGGCTCGATCCCAGGACCCTGGGACCATGACCTGAGCCAAAGGCAGACGCTTAACAACTGAGCCACCCAGGCACCCTGACAGCTCACTTTTAAACAGTGCTGAGGCTGCCTGCTAGTCTTCCATGTCCCAAGTCCTATAGGCTTTCCTCACAGATCTTAGTTTTCCTACCTCTATTCAATTGTCCCTTTTCTGAAATCATCCCAGTTCTGACCTATCTCGTTAAATGTTAAAACCAAAATTATATGATCTCTGAAGACCTGACCAAAGCAACAAGGAGGGGACACACTAGCCCTCTGTTCTGGGTGCCCTATTCCCATTAGAGCAGCACAGGCAGACAGCCATATTACTGCCTTCCTCCTAGAGCTTTTCTTTTTTTTTTTAAAGATCTTATTTATTTATTTGACAGAGAGAGACAGCGAGAGAGGGAACACAAGCAGGGGGAGTGGGAGAGGGAGAAGCAGGCTTCCTGCGGAGCAGGGACCCCAACGTGGGACTCGATCCCAGAACCCTGGGATCATGACCTGAGCCGAAGGCACACATTTAACGACTGAGCCACCCAGGCGCCCCCCAGAGCTTTTCTTTTAAAGCCACAAGGAACCCCTTCCTTTAGTGCACTGCTGTCCTATATCATGCTTTGCCTGTTTGCAGGAGACTTTGTTGGCTCATTCAAGCAGTATTTACTGACCTTTCTGTTTGTGGGTCGGGCCCTGTTCCAGGACCCTGCAGCTCGTAGAGGACAAGACAGAAAAGATCCTCCTCTCCAAGCCCTTTCTTTCTGGTAGAGGGAGATAAAGAAGAGACAAGTAAACCAATAAACATGGGTCATCTTAGATGGCAATCAGTGCCAAGACGAGAATAAAATAATGATGCCCTCGAGAGAGGCCAGGAGAGGGGAGTTAGGTAGAAGACCTTTGGGCTGAGTCGCGAATGGTAAGGAAGCCCCTCTGGTTCGCAAGGAAGGGTTCTCTGTTGCTTTTTGTTTCTGCTGATGCTTTAACTCATGGTGGCTTTTTTCTTCGTGTGTCTCTTAATTTCCGGCTGTGGGGATAATTTTTTAAAATATTTTATTAGTTTATTTTTTATTTTTCATCTCTGGAACACCTGAAGATCTGACTTAGGCGTCAAAAGATGTGTGATTACTCCTACCAGGCACGAGAGGGCGCTACTGCCATGATAAATTAAATTTCTCCCGGAAAGATGTTCCAGACCTGAAGTGCCGTGAGTTAGGCACGCGGTTCCTGGTTCACAGAGGAGACTCTTATTCTTAACTTCTGTCCACCACGAGGGAGTGGTAGGGTTTCTTTGTAAATACCCTTTTTGGTGGGTGGAGGTTTGCCGGTTTACTCTTTCACTAAAGGTGTATCCCTTTCCAGAATCTTGGTTTATGAGTCTTGGGTTCATCTCCCCTGTGTGTGGTGGACTCAAAGTCTAATCTTCAGCTCTGTGAAGTTCTTTAACCTCCCAGGTCTCAGCATTAGTGTGAGCCCTAAGGGCAGCTCCAATTCCAACACCCCAATTTGCACTTACTTCCTTGGGTTTTTTTTTCATCTGAGGAATTTTTTTTTTAATTTAATTTAATTTTATTATGTTATGTTAGTCACCATACAATACATCATTAGTTTTTGATGTAGTGATCCACGATTCATTGTTTTCGTATAACACCCAGTGCTCCATGCAGTATGTGCCCTCCTTAATACCCATCACTGGGCTAACACATCCCTCCACCCCCCTCCCCTCTAAAACCCTCAATTTGTTTCTCGGAGTCCATAGTCTCTCATGGTTCGTCTCCCCCTCCGATTTCCCCCCCTTCATTTTTCCCTTCCTTCTCCTAATGTCCTCCATGCTATTCCTTAGGTTCCCAGCAGCAATGTCCGCAATAGCCAAACTGGAAAGAGCCGAGATGTACTTCCTTGTTTTGAAGGGGCGCTTGGGAAGTTCCCTTACTTCTTGAAAAGTTAGCAATGGTTTTAAGATCGCATTTGTAATAACAGATCTGGAATGTAGCTGCCTTGTAGTAGCAGGGCTCTAGGTAAAGCCTAGAGCACCAGCCTGCCAGAGGGGATGTCCGGAAGACCGGTTTTCTTTCTTTCATTTACTCATCTGTTCAAAACTCTTCATTGAGCAACTCTGTGTACCCGCTAGTGTTTTGATGATAAACAAAAACAGACAAGGTCTCTGCTTCACGGAGTTCATAGCTTAGAGGAAAGACAATTATCATAAAGGAATCACACACACAAAAGCCTGTGATTCCAGATGAAGTGGGGATTACGTGAGAGCACAAGCTAGTGGTTCTCAAACTGCAGCCCACACCGGCAGCATCAGTAGGAACCTAGGAAAGCACAGATTCTTGGAGTTTCCTCAAACCTACTGCTTCAGAAACCCCAGCATGGGACCCAGTAATCTGTATTTGAACAAGCCTCCCAGGTGATTCTAAACCACTGGCATAAGCCAAAGGAACTTGACCTAGACAGAGGGGCTAAGGAGAGCTTCCCTAAGGAAGTGGTGATGACAGCAGAAGGATGAGTGGGAGGTGCACAGGCAGTGAGAACTGTACATGCAAATGGCCTGTGGTGAGAGGGAACATGGTTGTTTAAGGAACCAAGAGAAGATGAATGTCCGAGGGCCTTGAAGGTTGTAGAAGGAGCTTGCCCTGATTCCTCAGAGTAATGGAAAGCCATCAAGGGGGACAAGGAGAGTAGGAAAAAGTTGAGTTATTTGTCCAGAATCAGGACAGGACCAGGGCTGTGGCTTTAGGACTGAGAAAGAGGAAGTGAGTCTTAGAAAACTTTGGGAGCAGGGTTAGCAGGAGCTGGGGACTCCTTTGATGTGGGAGGAGGGGAGCTTCTCTGAGACCTCTGGCCTGAGGACATTCCTGGGTCACAGAGCACTGACTTCAGCAGAAGCAGGCTGCGGGGGAACGCGAGGCACTTTTGGGAGGCTCAAGGATGCGTGGCCAGAGACAGCCAGCAGTGGTCAGGCTGGAAACACCAATGAAGTCACATTCGCAAAGTGCATCCCCATGGCTCAGCTGTTTAGTGAGTCTGGAAGAAGTGATTTAAGCCAGAATCGTCCCACGGTGTGTCATTTCTCCCTATCCCGGCTCGCATGGAGTCCATATCAGTTAGCTTCCTGTAATTTCTCCTACTGTGATCACTGCTATAAAAATAAGTGTCACGTTTGACAGCACGAAAACCAGCGAGATGTTTTTCACGTTTGGCCAAGTCACAGGCTCCCTATGTGCAAGGCTCAGACACCAGCCCCATTGTCAACCTCAAAGCAGGTGCATTTGCTGTTTGGTTCTTAGGGATTCCTTCGATCTCAGTGAGCTCTCAAAAAGAATGACGACCTCTAACAACATGTTAATTTCTTGAGGAATTTAACATGAGTATTATGAGACCCTTCTGATATAAAAACACGTGGCTTTTATTTATTTTTTTAAAGATTTTATTTATTTATTTGACAGAGAAAGACACAGCGAGAGAGGGAACACAAGCAGGGGGAGTGGAAGAGGGAGAAGCAGGCCTCCCACCGAGCAGGGAGCCGATGCGGGGCTCGATGCGGGGCTCAATCCCAGGACCCTGGGATCATGACCCGAGCCGAAGGCAGACGCTTAATGACTGAGCCACCCAGGTGCCCCAAACACGTGGCTTTTAAAAATATCCTTGGCTGGGGCGCCTGGGTGGCTCAATCGTTGGGCCTCTGCCTTTGGCTCGGGTCATGGTCTCAGGGTCCTGGGATCGAGCCCCGCATCGGGCTCCCTGCTCCGCGGGAAGCCTGCTTCTCCCTCTCCCACTCCCCCTGCTTGTGTTCCCTCTCTCACTGTGTCTCTCTTTGTCAAATAAATAAATAAAATCTTTATATATATATATATATATATCTCCTTGGCCACAGGGTGCCTGGGTGGCTCAGTCAGTTAAGCGTTTGACTCTTGATCTCAGCTCAGGTCTTTTTTTTTTTAAGATTGTATTTATTTATTTGACAGACAGACCACACAAGCGGGGGAGGGGCAGAAGGAGAGGGAGAAGCAGGCTCCACGCAGACTCGATCCCAAGACCCTGGGATCATGACCTGAGCCAAAGGCAGGCATTTACCTGACTGAGCCACTCAGGTGCCCCTCAGCTCAGGTCTTGAATTCAGGGTTGTGAGTTCAAACCCCATATTGGGCTCCATGCTAGGTGTGGAGCCTAAAGAAAAAGAAAAAGCAACTCCTTGGCCACTTCCTGCTTGATCTTTAACCCTAACCTCACTCCAGCTCTGTTCTGATGCCCCGCTATCAGCCCTCAACACCGCAGTGGAAGGAGCGGCTGGAACTGAGCAGCCCCATGGGAAGCCTGCCTTCTCTCTGGTTCTAAGTGAGCAGCTAGAGGAGAGGAGCTCCAGCCCCCAGAGACACCTCTGGAAAGAACCAGATAAGGAAAACGGACAGTACAGAGGCAGGCTTGTGGGCATAATTACTCCCCCAGAAGAGGATTTAACTAAAGCCAAATCAAAAAATGATTTTTAAATGTTATTCTCCTGCTGACTGGTAACATGACTCACGGCAAACTACAGAGGGCCACCCTGACCCCCTGCTCCCTTCTGGCCCATTTATAAGCGCCACCTCCTCTTCACAGGCACCCACTGCCCCCGCCCCCGGCCATGCCCCAGCGACCGTCGGACCATCACTGCCATATCCAGCCCCAGATGCCTGGCGCCACAGACCACAGAGGAGTCAACCCCGACCTGGAAGCCTGCAGACCCCTATCTACTGCATCAGTAAGGGCAAGGCGAATTATCGCAGCAAGGAGATGCCAGGGCGCGGCGGCCTGGCGGGGGTCAGACGGGCTGTGCTCCCCGGCACCCAGGCTCCTGGCCGACCTATGTGCAAGGGCCTTGGGGGGGGTGGTCAACACTTCTGGCCAAGACTGAGGCATCTCCTCAAAGGCAAGAGACAGGCAATTTGCATGCATTACACATTTCTCGATCTAAAGCCCAAGCACAGGGGCCCAGTGAGCTCTAAGGGAGGTTAGGAAGCCGAGCCCGGCGTCCAGGCCACAGGCCCTGCGGCCACACTGTGACAGTGGAGGAAGGGGGGGACGATTCAGGGGCCACCCACCGTCAGCATCCCACGATCCAGTGAAGGAAAGCCCTGGCGAGCACAGGGGGGCTGGTGCCATCAGGCCTAGCCCGGCTGCGTTTGAACTTTGGTGGGAGACTGTCTGAGGCCCCAGGTAGAGCAGAGCAGCTGAGTAACTGTGCTCTGGAGCTGGAGGCTCAGATGTGTCCAGAATGTGTGGCATTCTGGCTGTGTGACCTTGGACAAGGTAAACACTGTCTCTGCGCTGAGGCTGTGATAATAGCTGTAACGTTATAAACTGTGATAATATGGTGATGGGTTTTGTTGTTTTTTATTTTTTTAAGTAATCTCTGCACCCAGTGTGGGGCTCGAACTTACAACCTTGAGATCATCTCTCCCCGGAAGAGACCCCGGGGCCCCTCCTCCTGGCAGATGGAGACTGCGCAGTGCACAGGCCGCCGGTACCGGGGCGGGGGGCTGCCCGGCAGCTCCACCGAAGGAGACGGCCAGGTGCCCCTGTTGTGATGGTTTTTAGAGGAACCCCCCAGTAAATGGCAAGAATTCCGGGCATTCGGGTCACCATGAGGTGGCCCCAGGTTGATCTCAGACCAGATCGGGACATTAGTGGGTACAAACTCAGCTCAGCTTTATTGCCAATTAAGTAAACCTTCTTAGCCAGCTTGAAATTGCCACTTAGCAATTGGGGTGGGTAAAGAAAACAACGACCATCAATGAGGGTGGGCCGGGAGACACCGCGGGGGGAGTGGCCCCCGACTTCTAGAACCACTCCGAGAGACTCCGAGAGGGGCCGGGCAGGCAAAACCTCTCAGTGGAAAGATGGGAGGACAGGACCAAGGAAGCAGGTGTGGTGGCTGGAGTCGGGGAACAGATCAGAAGTCTGATCCCTGACCTCAAGGGGCTCCCTGTGTCACGAGGTTAGGTTGAGAAGTGAATCAACAACTGTGGCAAAGCACAGGGGGCGCTGTGATCAAGGACACGTGTGGGGGATGTGGGAGGGAAGGGGGCGGGGTGGGGATTGGGGGGTGGTATGAAAACCCCGCAGCCAGTGGGGTGGAGGTTTGCCGGTTTACTCTTTCACTAAAGGTGTATCCCTTTAGTGGGGGACCAAGGGGACTCCCTTGCCTACCAGGAACGACTCCAGGGGACAGTGCTCAGCCTGGGCCGAGGAGCAGGCTTAGCCAAGGGGTGATGGAGTCACCCTGGGGGTGCCGCCCTCTGCTGGGCAGGAGGGAATGAAGAACAGCCCAGCCTGTGCTCCCCACGCAGGGCTGTGCTGCCCAAGCCCCCAGGGAGGAGAGCACCCAGGAGGTGGGGGAGGTGGGGCTTCTTCCCACAGGCCAAGGGAGCCCCTGAAGGATTCTGGACCAGCAGGAGACAGAAGGCTGCTCTCCAGTGGGGTCGTGCGGGGAGCAGTTTGGAAGGAGGCAAGGTGGGGGGCGGTGAGGACCGTTGCTGGAATCCAGGGGGTGGCTAGCACCCAGGAGTGCAGGCCCTGAGAGCTCTGAGGGGTGAAGTCACGCGCGGAGGCCAGAATGTCACCAGCACCAGGGGCCGTGAGTGTGTTTCACAGACTTGGGGAGCACAGGTGCCAAGACTGAGTGCTGCTGGGAGGCTGAAGCCAGCCCTGGCCTCCTGCCCCCCACATCTGCGTGCCCATAAGGGCCGGGCCTCTCGAATGGGAATGGCAAGCTGGTGCTTTCCCCTTGGCCTCCCATCTGGGCGATTGGGCGGGGGTCTGGCGGGGGAGCTGCGGGCACCACCTGGCCACGCTCATCCCCACCAGCGCAGGAGGTACTCGTAGCTGAGGAAGGTGATAGCGTTGACAGGAAAGGCGCGGGCGCTGTTGATCGTAAGCCCCCGGAAGAAGACCCCCAGTCCTTCCTGCCGGACACTGCTTGCCATGCAGTCCAGCACCCCCCGGTACACCCTGTGCTTCAGCCCGGCCATCTGCATCCGGGACTTGATCACGTCCAAGGGGGTGGCCACGGCCCAGGAGACGATGCCTGCGAAGCCCCCTGCCACCAGCACTGTGGCTAAGCCTGGGGCAGAGGAAGCCCAGGCGGGTGTCAGACCGAGGAGCAGAGAGCCCCCACCCCATCCCTAGGGTCCCTCCCCCATCCTCCAGGGCAAGGGCTAGCTCCCCTCCCCCACTCCTCTCTGTCCCCCCCACCCGCTCACGCACCCCCACTTACTGGGGTTCTGGCCGTCCGGTGTGGACTGGCGGCAGAGCCACTCATAGGTGACAAAATAGATGCCCAGCGTGGGGGTGTCCCTCAGCGTCAGGGCCCAGGCTCCCCGGAAGAGACCCCGGGGCCCCTCCTCCTGGCAGATGGAGACTGCGCAGTGCACAGGCCCCCGGTACCGGGGCGGGGGGCTGCCCGGCCGCGCCCTCGGCTCCGTCTGGTTTTGTAGCCGAACTTTGATGAGGTCAAAAGGGGCCAAGCAGTAGACCTGTAGGGAAGGAAGCACGGAGAGCCTGGGTGGGGCTCCGGGCGAGGACGGCGGCCCACCCTAACAAGAGGAAGGTGGCGGGCAGAGAGGGCCGCATCTGCCCGCGGGGCCGCGCCACTCCCGCTGCCCGCAGGGCTGAGCACAGGCCAGACCGCTGCCCTTAGCATCGGCCCCCGACGGCCGGCGGCACTGCCCGTCTCTCTGGGCAACAGCACCGAACTTGCCTGGCCCGTGCAAGGAGCTCAGAAACAATCCCGCATTGTTTCTCCAAGAGTGGCGGTAGGTTCTAGCCCCCAGAAGCCAGGGGTGAGCACGCACCTGCAGTGACGTCTGAAGAAAGGATTCAGTCTCTGCCCGTGAGACAGGTCTGACCCCTCCCCACAGTGAAGGAGGTCACCTCAGTCCTGTTGGGGACTCAACTTCAGAGTCTCGCTCCCCCCACTTCCTGCGGGACACCTCTCAGAGGCCCCTGAGGGGGTCAAGCGCTGGGCCAGCCTTTCCTGCCTCCCGCAAACCCCCAACTACTAGGATCCCAACAGAAGGTGGGTGATGGTGGGATCTGTGTCCCAGGACTCTTATCACCTGGCTGAGGTAGAAGGGACAAACAATTGGGGTAGTATTAGGACTGAGGGTGGTTCTGGGTGGAGGCGGAGGGAAGCTGGGGCCAGGGGCTAATGTGAGGGTCACGAGGCACGAAGGTCGAGGTCAGCTGTTAAAGCTCAGATGAGAATTGAGGTCAGGCTGAGGTTAGCGTGTTGCGAGGGGTTTCTGTGGATTTTGTTTCTTTTGCGGAAAGTACACGAGCTTAGTCCCTCAGCCCTGGAAGCTGGCTCTGGCGATGATGTTCCCAGGGCGGCGGGCCAACTTTGCTTGCTTCCTCCCCTGCTGGAAGGGTGGTGCGCTGGGCTTCCTCCCTATAAGGCGGGATCCTGATGTCATCCTTCAGAGCCTGTGGGCAGTGCCAAGCTCAGGGCTTCTCCAGGGGACGTGACCCTGAGCCCAGGGCTCCCGACGGTGAGGAAATGGCTGAGCCAAAGATAGGGTGGCTAGCAGGGGCAGGTTAGGGCCCCTCGGCTCCCCATCCTGCCCGCGGGCGCTGTGGGGATGGCACACACTGCCAGTGTTTGACAGCGTCAGCCTTTCTGAACCAAAAGCAACTTCTGTGCACATCACAGGTTGTCATTCCCTGCCATGGGCTGGCCAGAGTCACACCCTGCCTCTTCCTCCGCACGCCCACACTAAAACACAGCTTCTGCTCCCAGACCTGTTAAGCCGAATCCATGGGCTTGATGGCAAACCGGGTTCCTGTTGGTCCCTGAACCCAGTCCCCATCCTTGACCCTACAGTCTCCACTTCTGCTATCTGTTCGGCTTTGCAATGAGCCGGAGGGGAGGGTGACTTAGGAGCTGGGCCTGGCTGGGCCAGCCACTAGCATGGAGTCTCAGTTTGCTTCCTCGTTTTGGTGGGGTGCAGGTCTCAGGGCTTGGGAAATATGCGAGCGTGTGCCCTGTACAAGAAGGGGCAGAAGAAAAGCCAGGACCTTTTGGGGGCCTCATGAATCATTAATTCACTGGAGTGAGCCACCTGATTCTGTCTTTTGTCCTTGCTCTCTGCCCCAGAAAGTGTGTTAGGGGCATCAGGGCAGGTGCCAAATAGAGGGTGACCTCGGGCACCTGGCTGGGGTGTGGGGTGAAGCCAGACACGGGCCCCTCTGCCTCTATGCTCATGCCCCTCAATCAGCTGGGGCTCCCCCTGGTGCCTGGAGGCCCCTCTTTCCTCCACCCCACCAATCAAAAGCCAGATACTTAAGTGCTGAGAACAAAGACCAAAACTAAATGATGGGAGCTATTTAATGATTAATACCCTGGGTCTCTCCCAGCGAGATCTGTGGACTGGGGCCTGGTGAGGCTGCAGGCAAAGGAGCTGAGCAGGGCGTGGGCTGGAGGGATGCCAGGACCACACCAGGACTGGAGGGGCTGGGCTCGGGGCTCTGGCAGGGCTATCGGTTTTCCAGGGCAGTAGGTCCCCCTGGGACAGCACTGAGGCTGGCAGACCTCTCCAGAGGTCTGTGTGTGTGTGCTTGATAGCACCTGTGTACGCATGCCCCCGCACCTCCCCCTCACCTGCACGAACCCTCCAGTGCAGCCAGCTATGAAGACATGCGTGTAGCTGGGTGGCTGGGCCCACCGCTCCTGGTGGGAGGTCGCTGTGAGTGCCAGCAGCGTGTTGCTGTAGACCCCGAACAGGACGGAGTTGACCACAGCTATGCTCGCAATGGGGAAGCTCATTCCCTTGAAAAAGCCCAGAAGCTGTAGAAAGACATGGCGACCCTAGGGCAAAGGGGGTCTCCTCTTTGCCCTTCCCATCTCTGGCAGGGTCTCCTCTAGCTGGAAACCACTCCTGAGCCCTGCCGAAGGGAGGCTGAGGCAGGCTGAGGCTGGGGACAGCCTCAGGTCCATCCTTGGGGCACTGAGCTACCACCCAGCCCCCAGGAGGCCCCGACTTTGGTCTCCTCTCTTCCAGGGGCAGAGAGCCCTGCCGGGGAGAAGAAAGCTGCTACTGACCACCCAGATGCCTCCCATGCCAAAGCCCCAAAGAAGCAAGACACCCACCGACTCATGGCGGTAAGTCTTAACCATACAATCGATGATGCCCCGGTATGTGGTCTGGGTCTGGAGCCGCACCTTGGTGAGGAGGACAGAGCAGGCAGCCCAGTAGGGACGGGCAGAGATGGCTCCAGCCCCGCTCCTCCCTCTGCCCAGCAGGATGCCAGCAGGGCAGGATTGATAGGAAAGATCCCCATCAGCCAGGCTCTGCTCTCAAGGCATCCTCACATCTGGTTCAGGTGACATCCTTCATTCCTTGGGTGCCTCCCCTCGACTCACCTTTACAGTGTCAAAAGGGTGTCCGAGGACCAAGCCCAGAGCTCCTGCGTAATAAGAAGATGCTATGAGTGGGTGCCTGGGTGGCTCAGTTGGTTAAGCGACTGCCTTCGGCTCAGGTCATGATCCTGGAGTCCCGGGATCGAGTCCCGCATCGGGCTCCCTGCTCAGCAGGGAGTCTGCTTCTCCCTCTGACCTTCTTCCCTCTCATGCTCTCTCTCTACCATTCTCTCTCTCTGTCTCAATAAATAAATAAAAATCTTTAAAAAAAAAAAAAAGAAGAAGAAGAAGAAGAAGATGCTCTGAGTGAGGCCCCTTGCGCCTGGCTGAGGAGAGAGGGATTCGGGCAGGAGAAAATGAGGCCAGGCCTTCCCGCCAGCCTCCAAAGAAACTCCAGCCAGCCCCTCTGCATCCTCCTCCACACGGAGCGCTGGGCTAGGGAGGCGTGGGGACAAGGGGACCCTGGAGAGGGCCTTGGCCGTGCCCAGAGGACACCCAGGCAGAAGGGAGGAGCCAGCCCCAGACGCGGTGTCCCCACAGAGTCCAGCACTGACCATCCTGCTTGCTTACCCAACTGTGGGACCGTGGGACAGATTCTCCAGCGCTCCTGCCTGCCAGCCCGACTCCTTCCTTCCTTCCTTCCTTCCTTCCTTCCTTCCTTCCTTCCTTCCTTCCTTCCACGCACGACTGCTGTTGAGTATCGGGCCTTGATCCAGACCAGGCCCTGCCCTCCCAGCGCTTTACCCCCTCAGCCAGCAGTACGGAGCTGGGGGCCCTATGGACAGTCTTGCTGGCACCCGGGGAGGGGAGCCCAGCCCCCAGGCCACCTCCCCACGTTCTGATCTTGCCCTCCATAGCAGTGCTGGCCCTGGAGCCTTGGGCGAGGTCACAGCCCCAGGAGGCAGGTTCAGAACGTCCCTCTCTTTCTTCTGAGAGAACTGTCAGCCAGAAGCTGGGCTGGGTGCACAACACAGCAGGCCTCAGTGCCAGGACATGCAGCCCATCGCCGGGTAGGGCAGAGGCCCAGAGGGGAATGCAGGACAGCTGCTGGGGTCAACAGTGATATTGCTTTCTGAGCCCCACAGGGTGGGCCTAGAGAGTGGGGTTCACGGCGAAGGTGTGCAGGTGTGTCTGGGAGAGGGCTCACCTTGGCCCTGCAGGTGAGGACAGCGTGGCTTAGGGACCTGCACCTTCCTCCCCGCGCCCCTGAGGCAACTGCCAGGAGGCATGGGGATAGCTGGTCTGGCACTCCAGAGCCACCAGGGCTTTGGTCTCAGCTCCTTCTATGTCCCCAGGCAGTGACCGACCGCTAGGGGGGATGTGACAGAAGGAAGAAAAACGTCTCACCGGAGATCCAGCCGGCCACAAACTCCTCCACGGGCATTGTCTGGCGGGGGCGGGAACCGGTGGCTCCGGAGAGGAGACGCTGGGGAGCGTCTGTCGGTCCCTGATCTCCCTCCCCCTCCCCCACCCGATAACCTTCCACTAATGTTTAACTTGGCCTGGAGAATGAGCAGTGGCCCGGTGCCCAGACCTCGGCACCAGAAGAGGGGAGGGAGCCACCTTGGGTGGCCCTGACCCTGGAGGAAGTGTGTGTGGGAATGTGAAATCTTCCGGGCAGGGACGATGGCCCGGGTGGCCCGCCCCCTGCCGGCCAACAATGGCCTCGCAGCCCTGCAGCGGGACCTGGCAGGGCAGCCAGGCCCCAGCCAGCAAGGCCTTAACTAACCCTGCCCGCCCCGCCTGGCCGGCCCAAACTCCCTCCGTCCCCACAGCGCCACCCACCAGGCTGCCGCCCGCCTGCGACACACAGCCAGGCCGGCAAGAGATAGAGCATGGCCACCAGGGGGCAGGGCCTGCGCAGTCCCCGCACCCCAGGAACCCCCAGAGCCGGCAGGGTGGGAACCCAGAGAGGAGTGACTCCCGGTCCTGAAGCCCTGCCTTCTCCCAGGGTGGTGTGCAGCTCCCGCAGCTCCCTTGTGTGAGTCACAAACAGCCTCCCTCGCTCGGCCTTCTCTTCTCTGGGCCTCCCTGCCAGGGGACAAGCTGGGGATTTGCGTGTATAAAGGGTGGGGGTGTCTCAGCTCTGGGGTTATGAAAGCCCATTTCTCTTTGGACAGCCACCCAAGCTGACAAAGCAGGGAGACCTGCATCCCTCTCTCTTCCTCTCTGCTTCCTTCGACCAGCCTTCTCTGTGGCCAGTACACAAAGCGTGTTAGAGCGTGAGTTATGATTCCACTCACCCGTCGGCTCCTTACGAGCGGAGTCTGGTTAAATACGCTCACTCTTCCCTGTTGTTTTGAAAGTGATATTTTACATCATTTGTAAATTCGTTGCATCTTTTTACAAATCAGATGACGGCTCACGCCCCCGTGTTTCTCACACCTGCCTGGTACTTTTATTTTTCCTGCTCCTGTTCTCTCTCTCTCTGCCTGAGAGGGGGCAGTGGACACCAGCAGAGGTAGGAGGGGCTTTGGTGTCGTCCGGACTGGGGCTCCAATCTCAGCTCTGCGCCCGCCAGCCCGGTGATCTGTGGCAAAGCACATGTTTCTGAGGTTCTTTTCTCCCATGTCCTTTGGGAGGCTCTGGAGGTCATCCAAGGGGGCTTCTGGGGCGGGGGGGTGGGGTGGGGGGGTTCATGTTCAGGATCATCTCCATTACACTTCAGTGATTCCTAGGCAGTCCCATGGACTTGGAGACAGGATGCGGATGGACGGGGATGCACACGGGGTGGGGGTGGGGGGGCAGAGCATCAGGGCAGACCCGAGGATGAGGGCACAGGCAGGCCAAGTGCTGAGGCTGCTGCAAATGATGCGCGTCCGACATTAACAGAGTGTACGGGGGGAGGGGGGCTGCTGATGTAACCTGTTGTCTACATCCACGGCCACAGGATATTCTGTCAGGTTCTATTCTTAGGTATGCTGAGAAGTGGGGCCGGGGCGGGGTCCTCTTTCCGGGGCACAGAGATCCAGGGCGCAGGTGCCACCACCCATAGAAATCTGTGTGAAGGCTCCAAATGTGGGTGCCCACCTTTGGAGTCCCCCTTGCCCCCTCCCTCTGTCTCACACCTCACCACCTTCCCGTAAGGAAATTGTGTTAGTGTTGCCTTCGAAGCGTGTCCCAAATCCCACTCCTCCTCGCCTTCTCCACTGCTACCGCCCCGGCCCAAAGCCACTGTGGCCTCCACCTGGATTCCTGCCGGCCTCCCTGCCTCCGCCCCTGCCCCCGTCCAGTCTGTTCCCCAGGAGCCAAAGTGATGCAGTTGAAATTTAAGTCAGACCTTGTCTGTGCTCTGCTCCACACCCTGCAAGGGTCCCATCCTGCTCAGGGTGAAAACCGAAGTCCTTCCTAGGCTCTAGGAGCCCTCAAGGTGCAGCCCCACAGTCCTTTGACCTCATCTCTGGGCACACCCTGGTCACTCTGTCCCAGCCACCCTGGCCTCCTTCTCTTCTTCAAACGGGCTCCTGCCTCCAGGCCTTGTTGGCCTGGTCTAGCCTGGATTCAAACTTGTCACCTGCTGGGCATTCCTGGTGCCCCTTCCCTGGCTCTTCCTCTTCTTTCTTCCCTGGCACTCGTGACCTTCTGATGTACCAGTAATTAACTTGTGGTCTGTGCTGGGATCTCTGGCTGTTTGTTCACTGATGTTATCCCGAAGGCTCAGCACAGCACATAGCAGAGAATAGGCTCTCAATACATATTTGGTGCAAGGATGAATGAGTGGACAAGCGAGGGAGCAACATTAGCGGGCAGCCCTGCAGCCAGCCCTGGGTCTCCACTTCTCTCTCCCCATCTCCAAAGGGCCCCAAAGAATGTGAAGTCCCAACAATATCCCTACCTGCCTCTCCCGATCTCGTGGCAACTCTTTGTTCCCCGTCAGATACCCAAGGACCAATCCCACTCACCCTTCCGCTTTCCCACTGTGGCCAAAGTAGAACCCACTCACCGCTACTTTCTCACGGGCAGATGGGTTTTAGGAAGCAGGGCTCATCTCTGACTTCCTCCTCCTAGAGCCGCCCTGGGCTCCTTGGGCTCCCCCAGCGAACCTTCCTGAGCATGGCTTCTCACCGAGGGCTGGGCTGCAGTCTTCATTCTGCTGCTCACTCTCTCCCAAGGGATAGTGGGCAATCCCTTCTGTGGGCCTTGGGTCCTTTCCTGCTTACAAAAGCAGGAAATCAGCCCGGCTGATGGCTGAGTCTCAGGCCTCTTGGCTCTAAAGGCCTGATGCCTGGCGCCCTCACATCAGAATGAGTCCCGCTCTCTTCTCTCGTCCCACCCCACCACCCCAGTTCAAGGCAGACCCACAACCCCTCCCTGGAGCCTTGCCAAAGGGCAGCCCCAGTCCAGGCTGGGCTCTCCTGCGAGTCCCACCAGGCCCATCTTCTGCCTGGCAGGGCAGAGCTCTGACCTTGCCCCCCTCTAGCTCACAACCTCCAAAACCTCCTTGCCACCTGCCAAACCCACCACGCACACCCCCTGCCCCCGTGCCACCCCATCTTCCCAGGCTCGCCTGCTGTGCTCTGACTGCCCAGGGCTTCCCCCGGGTCCTCACCACAGTTCCCCCTACGGGAACACCTTCAGGAATCTCTTCCAGTGCCCTCCCCCCACTGGACCTGGGTTCCAGGCTCCTTACCACCACTGTACATACTGCCAGACGTCGGCTTTGTGGTTTGACCTTTCCGATCCTGTTTTCTCTACTGCACACCTCCTGGTGTGGTGTAAGAATTAAAGCACTTAGGAAAGAGTCTGGCACATTGTATATACACCATGAACGGCAGCTACTATTACTGTTATTTCCACTCACAGGGACCCCGAGGTTGACATGAGGAAACACAGGGAAGGGCCTGGCACACAGTAGGGCTCAGGAATTGAGGACCCTTTTCTTCCTGCTTGTAGTTTTTCATGGCTCTGAAGGCAATTCTGTCATCTTATATAGTTTTAAGCATGCATTTCTCAGGGCAACTGGGTGGTGCAGTCGGTTAAGCATCCGACTCTTGGTTTGGGCTCAGGTCATGATCTCAGGGTCCTGGAAGCGAGCCCTGCATCAGGCTCCACGCTCAGCGTGAAGTCTGCTTGAGATTCTCTCTCTCCCTCCCCTTTTGCTCCTCCTACTCATGTTGTCTCTCTCTCAAATAAATAAGTAAAATCTTTAAAAGAAATTACTTAAAAAATAAAATAACCATGCATTTCTCCTGGCCTTCCCTCTTCCCCCTCTCTACCTCCACTCCCTGATTAAATCATAACTTAGCTTCCTGAGGGCAGGGCAGTGTCTCACCTGGGTCTCTGTCCCCTGCCCCAGGCCAGACCCCACACCCGGTAAGCACTGAACTGTGTTCCCACTTTGATCCAGCTGGTTAAGGGAGGCCACCAAGCCACTGTGTCCTGGTCTGAGGGTCTCAGAGCTTAGAACCTGGAAGGAGATGCTTGTTTGTCTGTTTGTTTGTTTGTTTGTTTGTTTGTTTGTTTTGAGACAGAGAGAGCACAAGCAGGGACAGTGGCAGGCTGAGGGAGAGGGGGAGAAGCAGACCCCTGCTGAGCAGGGAGCCCAATGTGGGGCTCGATCCCAGGACTCGGGGATCATGACCTGAGCCGAAGGCAGACGCTTAACCAACAGAGCCACCCAAACACCCCTAGAAGAGATGCTTGTTATTGCACGCTCTTCTCTCCAGCTCACATCTGAACTTCTTTGAGTCCTTAGTTCATGCAAGGAAGACATGTTGTAATGGGCTCAAGTGTGGGATAGCGTGGATTCTGGAGGGCAGGTAAAGAGCTGTTTATAGGGCGCCTGGGTGGCTCAGTTGGTTAGGCAACTGCCTTCGGCTCAGGTCATGATCCTGGAGTCCCGGGATCGAGTCCCGCATCAGGCTCCCTGCTCAGCGGGAAGTCTGCTTCTCCCTCTGACCCTCCCCCCTCTCATGCTCTCTCTATCTCATCCTCTCTCTCAAATAAATAAATAAAATTTTGAAAAAAAAAAAAGAGTTGTTTATATGGAGGATACTTGGACTGTGTTAGGAAATGGGGCTGCCTTCCCATGCCAGGGAATAAAGGCAGGGTGAGCCCATTCCTCCTCTTGCTCTCCACCCCCATCCGTGATCATCCAGCCCATTGTTGTAGCTAGAACAACTTCTGGTTCTTCTGGCTCAGGAAGGTGCCCCATGGACCTGTTTTTCTCCCTGAGATCTACACCTCAGGCGTACACATGCTGGCGTTGCCAGGACATGTTGGTGACGTGACCCTGGGATAGGTGGTTTCACACCTGTTTCTTTCCAGCCTGGGAATGGCTCAAGGTCTCCAGACTGTGTGTCTAAGATAGAGAGGGTTCATGTGACTGCTCCTTGAAAAATCAAGTATGCCTGGCTTGGGTTTCTAGCATATAATTTGAGAGTCGCTGGAGGTCATTGAGTTCAACCTCTTCATTTTACAGATAGGAAACTGGGGCCCCGAGGAGAAGGGGCTTGTCCAGGCTGAGTCCGGCCAAGGACCCAGTCTTCTGACCACGGCGAAGAGTCTGTCACCCCTCATGGCCCAGGCGCGCCTGCAGTACAGGCTGCTGCCTGAGTCACCTTTACCCAGCACCCAGAACGGTGTGGATCCCTGACACGTCCCAGGAAGCATCTCCCTTTTACAGGTGAGGGGACCAGCCCCAAACCACACGCGAGTGAGCGCCCAGAGGTCGGCCACCATTCTCGACTTCCTTGAACCTTCGCGACACCTTGTTACAGGACAGTGGGCAGGCCCGTGGGAGGCCACCTGGTGGCCATGGGCGTGAGCGAACCCGCGAGGCCACAAGGCGGGGCGTCCCAGGCGCGCGCGGGCCCGCGGGAGGAGTGAGCGCGCGGGCGCCGGGCAGGGCGCGTGCGCCGCAGCCCCGGGCTCCCATTGGCTCCTGCGGATTGGGAGGCGGGGCCGTGCGCGTCGCGCTTCCTCCGCCCCAGCTTCCGCGTCGCAGACCCGGGAGCTGGAACCTAAGCGGTTGCCGGAGTCCTGGCCCACTTCGGGGCGGGAGCCGGAGCTGGGGCTCGCGGTCAGACCGGGAACCTGCACTGAAGCCGCGGGCATTGACTCCCTGCGAGGTGAGAGCGCGGCGACGCCCTGCGCGGGCATCCCGGCCAGCCGAGCTTGGACCCCGCTCCTGACCATCGGCGCCCTGACCCCTCCCACCAGCCTCGACCTCGAGTTGACTGAAGACCCACTGGTCTGCACACCGGTGCCTCCAACTAACACTGTTCACCTTCGCAGATCAGCCGGGACTCCGCCTTTCTTAAGTGAGAGCTTGAGGGGCTACCCAACCCTTATATCCCTGGACCCCACAGTAACCGTTCTTTCTCTTTCCCTCTGCAGATGGACGGGACAGAAGGCAATGCTGGGCAACCGGGCCCCGCTGAGCGGTCCCATCGAAGCAGCGTGTCCTCCGTGGGAACCCGAGGTGGGTCCCTGTCTCCATCACCTACCCTGCACAGGCAGTTGGGGCCCCTGCCCTGGGGAAGTGGCCCTGGTTTGTCATCTTTTTCATTAGAGAGAATTTTGTATATTCATTAACAAATAAGGTCTGTGGAGGTGTGGAGAAGTGATAGAAGAGCAGCTGGGCTCTGTCATTAGGCTGTTGGCCAAGGTGGGTACTGTTTCTCATTTGTAAAAGGAGCATGTCTTGCAGAGCTGTGAAATTCAAATGAAATCTCATGAATGAAAGGTGACACGTTTCCATTCTTTGATTTCTTTTTCACTAACAGCGGTTTGAAAGCAGGGATCATTATCTTCACTTTATAAGGAAGGAAATTGGGCCCTAGAGAGGTTAAGTCACTGGATACTGCCTGTTAAGTCACTGGCCCGCACTGCCTCAGTTGTCCCTACCTGAAAAGTGAGTCTGAATCACAGCCTCCTGGAGATGATTTTATGGTCTGTCAAGAAAGTAGCGGTTAGGGCGCCTGGGTGGCTCAGTTGGTTAAGCGACTGCCTTCGGCTCAGGTCATGATCCTGGAGTCCCGGGATCGAGTCCCGCATCCGGCTCCCTGCTCAGCAGGGAGTCTGCTTCTCCCTCTGACCCTCCCCCATCTCATGTGCTCTCTCTCTCTCTCATTCTCTCTCTCAAATAAATAAATAAAATCTTAAAAAAAAAAAAGAAAGCGGTTATAGCAGAACAGACTGGAAATCCAAAATGCACTTTCACTTGTGTCAATGATAAACTACACCTTTGCCTTTCATAGGCTTCACCCCCATTTGATCCACAGCCACGCTTTGAGAGAGGGGTGTTCACCCTGCTTTACAGATGAGGCAGCTGACACACTTGCTGAGGTCAGCCTGCTGGCCAGGGCCCAGGCTAGGATTGGGACCCAAGTATATCGGCCTCCAAGCTCGGTCTCCTCCACGGCACCTGCAGCTCCAGGGATGGGGATTTGAATCTGGCTGCTCTTCCAAGGGTCTCCCTTTGGCACCAAGCTCCAAATAAGAATGCCATGGGCTGTCACAAGTAAACACTCAACTTTTTAGTTTGTATTTCTCCTGGCCTGTTTAGACAGTCCTGAAAGGCCATGGTATTGAGTCCTGAGGCTTGAAGAATTCTATGGAAGCTAAGCCCTGGAAATTGCTTTACCCTGGGGCAGCTTTAGGAATTCTCTATTCCTGTCTTAGCCTGAGCCAGAGAGAGACAGCTACTTTGCCTGAGGATAACTGGGTTGGCAGCTCTCCTGCCTCCCAGCCTGATATACTAACTCCTATAATCTCAGGATGGTTTGGGCCTATCTCTGCCTCCATCCCCACCTGTGGATTATTCTCTGTCAAGGAAGAAGCCCAGCAGAGTCCTTGGTACTGCCAGGAGAGTGTGCGGGGGTACAGTGGCCAGCCTAATTTGAACTTTTGCGAGTTAGAGTGGGGCTAGGCTGGTCCCTGGGCCAAAGTTGCTGGGTTTCTGGGTGGTTTGAGGATCTCGAGTAAGTCTTAACAGCACTTTTCACAGGGTCCTTTGGGGCTGCTGGGCCTCTGTCTCTGGAGTGTAGCCTTGATCACCTCAAGGGGTGTAGAGTGGGGGCTCCAGCCCCAGTGGGGGGTAGAGGGTTCCTATGCCTAGGTAGCAGGCCCAGCTGACCCTGCCCAGCCTCCGTTGCAGCAGCTGATGTGCTGGTGTACCTGGCGGATGACACAGTGGTGCCCCTGGCCGTGGAGAACCTGCCGTCGCTCAGTGCCCACGAGCTGCACCGGGCTGTCCGTGAGGTCCTGCAGCTCCCGGACATCGCCCTGGATGCCTTCGCACTCTGGCTTGTGTCCCCTCTGCTGGGTAAGGCTTGGCAGTGAGAAGCCCAGGCTGGAGGGTTGGAAGGGTAGTGACCAGGGGCGGGGGAGGGGGCCACTTCCGGAACCTCTGGCCACTGTGCATCAGGAGAAGGTGGGATTTGTGTTTGGCCTGGAGCTAGCCTCCACTTTTAAGCCCCAGAGCCCCGAGAGGACTCCTGGCTCTTCTGCCCGCACCTTCTTTCTTTCTGCTGGTGGCAGAGGAAGGGTCAAGCCTGCCCCTCAGCCTCAGTGGTGCTGGAGCCTGGGGCATCAGGTGGAGCAGGACTGGGGGACAGGGAAGGAAGGGATCCACATTCACTGAGCACGTGGTCTGTGCCACAACCTGAGCTGGGATTTCTTGAGCAGAATTTCTTCTTACCCTAGTGGCCCAGCTCTGTGTTGCAGATGAAGAAGTTGAAGTTTGGAGTGGGGGGTTCAGTGAGTAGTAGGACTCAGAACAGAATGGAAGCAGGAGCCGCATCCTGCTCCTTGGGGGCAGGGAGGAAGGTGGGGCCTGGCCCGGGAAGCAGCCACCCCTGACGGTGGGGAGGGCAGGACAGGCGGGAACCCACCTTTTCTGCAGCCCTGCTTGGCTTCTGGTCCGGGACCATCTGGGTCCTGCCCTTTCAGGCTGAGATTGCAAGGCGGGGATGGAGCAGGAGTGGGGGCAGAGGAGGTCCCTGGGGCCTCCAAATAGGGCCTCTAGCCTGCTGGCTCACACAGGAAGAGGGTCAAAGGCGAGGAGGCCCCAGGAGGTGCCAGGGCCAGGCATGTCTGCTGAGCTTATATACTCTCCTTTCTTGTAGAGGAACAGGAGCAAGAAGGGGGTGACTGGTCCCTCAGGGCCCCTAGCAGTTACTTCTTTCTTGAGGCCAGTGAGATTTGTGCCTCTACCCTAGAGGGGGATCTCTGCCAGCCTAGTAGGAGAGGGAGTGCCCCTCCCATGTGTCTCCGT